GTGCGCTAGAGAAAATCATACAACAGCTATAGTATAAATTGTGAAATGGAAACTTAAGACCTCAGCACCTTTGCTACAGATTGTAATTTCAAATAAATATTGTGCACTTATCTAACATGGTATTTAATATTGAAGAAATTTTAACCAAAATTGGACATTTAAAGCAGTAGAAATGTATATACATCTTATGCATGAAATCAAAAATTAATACACCAAATAAAAAATAATCCTTAGAACTTTCTGGGAAGGACTATTTATCTTTTTACACATGTCTTTATTATACAATTTGCAAAGAGGAAAACTGTCAAGTGATTACATAAAGTCTAAGTGTTCATGATTTTCACTGCACGCACATCATTACTATAAATATAATAACTATGTAAGATGTATTATTATAAAAAAATATACAAATTAAACAATTTATTTACCCAAAGAGCGAGCTTTAGACAGCATTTTTATCAAAAATTCTAATACGAATTGATCGAAAAGTGGCCACCACTGCCGTCAAAAAATAAAAATTATACTTGTACTATAACAATGATGCCAACAAAAGGACACCAAAATTTTATTATTCTTATGGTGTTAACTTGAGCACACGTGATCTTCTTGCTGTCAAAATTATGTCTTTGACAGATGACATTTATGTTTGTATTTTTAGAAAAAAAATTCTAAAACTTAGTATTGCTTTGTTTTATTAATGGATTTATTATAATGGGTTTGTGCTCGTCGTGTTTCAATCCTACTTCAGATGAAATACCTCAGCCAGATATGGTAATTGTCCAGAGATTTGTAGACAAATAATTTTTATACAATAGTGATCATGGGTATGGGAATAAAAATTTGTAGTTTCTTTAATTATCAGAATAATTTAGTTTGCTCACTAATCAACATGATGAAATATGTATACTCAATAGTTTAGAAACTAATGTTGAAATTGAGCATTAATAATCTCAGCCTCTGGCATTATTTACAGTTTATAATAATTAATTAATTTTGATATGAAAAACGATCAGTTTATCTACTTGTAGAATTTAAAAGTAGTTGTAAATACATATTAAAGGTTGTTTTAAAATAAATAATATTATCTCTATTATGCAATAAGTTTCAACTTGACTCTTTCCACTCCCGGTATGTAACAAACTTGATCTAAATAACTCAAAATGCAAAATTCTTAGTTTTACACATAAGCAATTTTCAATACATTTAGGTTATAAAATTTATAACACCTGCATAGATAGATATGATAAAATATCTGACCTCGGCATTTTATTTGACTCTAGTTTGTCCTTTGCAGACCACATGGCTAATATTTGGAATAAAGCTCATAAATTGTTAGAAATGTTTTTAAGGAACTGTAAAGATTTTAATTTAAATTAGTTACTAATTTGTATGTACAGTGGAACCTTGATTAACCGGACTAAATGTTGTCGATAGGCATCCGGATAATCCAATGTATGAAGAATAATGTTGAGTATTTATTAAAAATAAGAAATACAAAAAAAATAATATTTATTAAGAATTGAAACTTTCTTACGTATGTGCATATAATTTTTTTTAGATTATATTACATACATATACTGAACTGCAGCATTAATTGTGCAAAAATTCGAATTGTAGGTATGTACATGCATATAAATTAGTCGCGGTTGGTAGTCTGAATAATCGCGAATCCGTATAACTGAGGTCCGGATAATCGAGGTTCTATTGTACTATGCAAATATACGGTCTAAGTTTGAGTATGGATCAATCATTTGATATCTTTATTATAGGAATAACTCTGATGCGAGATAGAGAAGGTTCAACGTAAATTTTTTTAAATTATCTACATTTTAAAATGCACTAAATTTATCCTGAACGGCTTCGAACACAAAACATTGCTTAATAAATTCAGCATATCATCTTTTGCCACAAGTCCTTTTATCTATAATATTTTTTCTTATATAAACTTTGTAATAACACTATAGACTGTCTTCAAATTCTTAAACAACATTCCTTTAACGTTCTTAGATTATTTTTATAAACACATATTGTTCAATAATCATATTTCTAAAACTTATTCCTAAATTTGTCTATTGTATTGATGTTCTCTAAATTTAACTCAATTAATAAAGATATCAATATTCACAATACTTAACTAAATCAAATAATTTCTATCATGCTCATTTTTTTATTCTTTTATTTGAATGTTAATATGTTGACTTTTGATACACGTATATCATTCATATACATTTTATAATATATAATATGTTTACACTTTTTTTATTTGATTGTATATAATTATATAGTGCATCATATATCATTTTGTTTGTCAATAATGTTATAAAATTGGTTGGGAGGAAATTATATTATACTATGTTGTATTATATGTTCATGATTGTATTTTTATTTCTCTTAGAACTATTCTGGGGGCTATTTAAAAAATAAATATTTACTCTAATTAAATTTTTGTTACCATGTTCATGAAATATTAACAGTTCATATTACTCAAAGGCTATCCGAAGGGCCCAAATGGCAGAGGCTGCAGAGAAAAGACAATAGAGAATGAATCTCGTGGAATAAAAGATATTGATAAAGTTCGGAGGCAACAGCAGAAAGCAGCCGAGTTAGAAAGACGTCAGAACGAAATAGATAGACAAGGAGGCGGTGGAGATCTTTTACGAGTTAGTATAGAATTTTTGCCTTATCGATTATAGTAATATTATCTTTTTTTTCTATTTTTTTTTCAGTGGCAACAAGATTGAGCTGCAGTAATATGCATTTGATGTGTTCATTATAATAAGATGTTACATAATTCTTGAAATTATTTATATATGTTGTTTTCAATTATTTATTTTATTGATGTTGTTAAATTGTTATAGAAACTTTTATATGAATAATAAATAAATATGCACTTTGAAATTTAACACAAATCTTTAAATTAAGCATTATAACTCCTGTGATATGTAATTATCTATTGTTAGTGTATTTTTATCATATCATAAAAATGTCAAATTATGGTAGATTAATTATTTTTTTTTTAAAATAAAGAAACAAATATGTTTAAAACTACATAACGTGATTTATCCCATATATTAAAATGTAAGAGGATTATTCCACCCTTGAAACATTACATATTTTATAAACATTATAATAATTTTTTAATGTCTGGTGGTTATATATTAGCAGCATTTAGAAATGCTTATATAAAAGATATGAACTATATTACAATTTAACCTGGTTATTCAAACAAAATCTAATCAAGTTGGAGTTTAACTCAGCTCACGGATCTGCCTTAGGGCTGTAATACCCCTTATTATTTATTCAAGCAATACAATACTATTATAATTCGCTTGCTCAACTATTTCAACAGCAAAGCAACAATAATGCTCTATGCAAACTTTGGATGATGTTTCAGTAAAAAACTTATTGTTTACTAAGATAAAAGTTGAGTGTAAAGTAGTAAATATTTTAAAAGTTTACTAATGTTTTTTATGTTAAATTTGTAAAGTATGTTTTCTCATTTGCATAATTGTTTTAATGCAAGAAATTGTGCTTAAGAAATATTGTATAAAATTATAAGTAGATATAGATCCTGCTTTTGTTTGAATTGCTTAGAACTGAAGATTTATATTATATATATATATATATATATATATATATATATATATATATATATATATATATATACTGTGATAAAGTAATTTGATAAAGTAATTTTTTATTTAATATTTGAATTTTTCAACTTTTTAAAATAACTTTATGTGAAAAAATATCTTAAATTATATATCTAATACATCTTATGTATTATACATTAATACATCTTATGTATATCTAATTAGATATATAATTTAAAATATTTTATTCACATAAAGTTATTTTAAAAACAAAAATTACCAAGTTGAAAAATTCAAACATTAAATAAAAAATTACTTTATCAAATTATTAAATTGAATTTCATTGATCATTAAATAATTGATTGAATTGATGGACTCTAATGAAATAATTAATCATTTATTATTTCTATAAATAGAAAAAAATATGGATAGGTTTATGGATGTATAAAATCCAAAAAAAATTTACGCTCAATATAATCTGTAAATCAATGTGCATAACCTGGACTCCATAAAAAAGTATAAAACCCCATTTCCATTACTTTAGGAGAACAATCATAAATTTATGATATATTAATATATATTCTATCATTGTCTAGGAAAACTATTTATTGACTACATTATAAATCAAAGGATAATAAACGTTGTATATATCAATCGAACATTAAAACAATTAAACTCAAAGTAATCACAAGTATGATCATAAAACACAGTGACTTTTTCAAATTTACCGCGCTGCGATTAGTGTGCACTTCAGAGCAATGCTAAAGGTTGTCAATTTGACATCACTATTTATTTTATCAACACATCTATAGGTTATCCAATATTTTTGATTATTTAATTTTATGGAAAATTGTTGGTCACTGATTATTTCAATTTTAATTTTGAGCTGACGCCATCAGCCTCACGCATTTAAAAAAAAATCATCTTATGAATTTGTGAATATCAATATTTACGTAGTTTTTGGCAATAGCAAGTTTTTGTAAAAGCACTTAAAATGCCTATTAATCAACGCGAACTTTTACAAGCTGTTTCTCAAATTAGCGAATTGCAAAGCATGCGAGTCACTATTAGACAATCCGGAAAATGGGGCTTAATCACAGGAGCCGCTGTTTTTGGGGAGGATTATTGTTGGGTCCAACTGGTTAGCTTTGGGAGGTATAATTGGTGGCTGTGCTGGAGCTCTTAAATCAAGAGGTAACTTTATTATAGAATTTCTAATTACTAAAAGCAACTTATAGTTAACTGTTACAGTCTTGATGGGTGATGCAATTACCACACTTTTCATTCACGATACGACACAGCAGTGCATATAGTGTGCCATAAAATAAATATTTTTCTTATGCTTTGGATACTGTTTCTCAAATTGTACCTTCTCAATATAACACTTCACTCAATGGTTTGCAGGATATTTACATTTGGATATTGAATAATTCATAATTGTTAATGCCTAAGGCTCAACCCTGTTTTAAATCAATCAAATATATTTTAATGCTTTTGTAAAAGGATAAAAAAATTATAAAACCTAATCCTTCATTGTAATATATCATGTACCTTGCAAACCCTTAAATATTAATCCTTTCTTCCGAGAAACTATTCTTCCTTGAACTCATTTCAATCAAATTGCAGGTCAACTGATGATGTAAAAAATGTAATGGAATGTCGCTTAAATTCACAAAACGGACCAATCAGAAAATATATAAAGATATAGAAAAACCTGTAAATCAGTAATATCTCAAACTTCATCTAACAATAAGTAGCAAGTCTAAAATTAACATTCAAACAAGTAAGATTAACTCAACTTTATATCAACGTATTATTTTATCTAAGTATTGTTAATTCAATCGGTCTGATATAGCCATTATCTAATTATATCTGGTCCTGTGACAATAAAGCGAAATGTACTAATTTAATAGAGTTCGGCAGCATCAACAAACTTCTATTTATCTATCATCTTTTTTAATCTATCTGTGTCATCACAATAGTTGACATGGACTATTTAGTATCAATTTTAGTAAATATATGTTATATTACAGATTATGGAAATGAATATTTAAATTTTCAATATCTAAATATAAACTAGCTGTAAGTGGAATTCTGTCTTCAGGAATTATGGCATCGTGCCTTAAGGCAAATTGCTGGAACTTCCCGTACCGTAACAAAATGTTCGAGGAATACTGAATGTTTTCAAATAGATTATTATAAATATTGTAAAATTGTCTAATATTTATAAGAATTATATAAATTGAATGCAAAGTTGAAATTATTGTAAAGTATATTAGAACTATAGTCAGAATTAAAATAAAAAAAACTGAATTATTTTCGATATACAAAAAAATTAAAAAAAAAAAAAAGTTCAAACAAATTTTTTTTTCCAAAATCAATTTTTTGTGTAAGACAAGCAGAAAGTTCTTTGAATCATTTAAATCGGACGCTTAGTTCTCTCAAAAACTGCCATTTTTTACATATTTAGCTCCGTATCTTCGAAATGGCTGGGCCTGCCTTTGCCAAAAACTAATAAACACTTCTCCCAATCATTACTAATTGAATGTTTTTTAGATCATTCAAATCGGATACTCCGTTCTCTCAAAAAGTCGAGTTCTATTTTCTGCTCTCTCTTGCTCCGTATCCCGAAACGGCTGGACCTGCCTTGCCAAAAACTAATCAGCTCTTTCCCTATCAATAGGAATCGAATGTTTTTTAAACCATTCAAATCGGTTGATCCGTGCGCCCGAAAACGTGACTGGAAATTTGTATCCATACATACATAAACACACACACACACACACACTCCATTTTTTCTGAGGTATGCCAAAATGTTCAGAAACCTTCAAAACGTCGATAAATGTAAAATTTTCAATTCCGATTTTCGGCCCATTACAATAACTTACCCTACGGAAAGTTAATAATTTGATGGACTTATTGATAGATGTGTTACAGCAATGTATTCTGTTTCTATAATCAATAATAAAATATTATTCAATTGTAACTTTTGTTTCCCACGTTAAAAAAAAAAGGAGACTTTTCAGTACCTCTAAGTGTTAAAAGAATGCTTTTATGAAAGATATGTTTGATTTTTTGCCAGTCTAAATTATGATTGCGTGATACATAGTTTGGATTTTTGATCTTTATACTTCAATACATTAACTGAGACGAATAGTTAACATATTGTAAGAGTTGCTATTTTTATCATTTGAAATATATAGACCTATTGGTATGCATCGAAAACTAAAAAAAATTTTTTTGAAATTTTGAATTAAAAAAAAATGTTTTTGCCTTCTCCAAAATTAACCATATCTTGTTTAACCATACAATGTCAACAAAGGCAAAATGTTATTTGAATCATTCTAGGATTTCGGAGATACAGAGTAAAGTGAAAAAACAGCAGTTATTGAGAGAACAGATCATTTAATTAGAACAATTCAAAAAATTGATTTTCCTTGTGTTGATAGTGTGAAGAAATTCTCAGTTTTTGGGGAAGGCAATTTTTTTCTAATTTAAAAAAAGCATAATATACGAAAATGAAAAGCTATAATATTTAAATAATCTATTTGAAAGCATTAAATATTCCTTGAACATTTCATTACAGTACGGTAAATTCAAGCAATTTGCTTTAAGCCACAATGCCATGCAACAATAGGTAACTTCCCCTAGGGTAAGTTACTGCAATCATCCAAAATCGAAATTGAAAATGTTTGCATATCTTCACGTTTTGAAGGTTCTGAATATTTTGGCATACCTTAAAAAAAATGGATGTGTGTGTTGTGGATGTATGTACATATGTATGGATACAATTTTTCATCCACGTTTTCAGACGCACATATCAACCGATTTGAAAGGTTAAAAAAACATTCGATTCCTATTGATAGGGAGATATCCTGATTAGTTTTTGGCAAAGGCAGGTCCAGCCGTTACGGAGATGCAGAGCAAAGAGTGCAGAAAATAGAAATCGAGTTTTTAAAAGAAGGGAGCATTTGATATGAATGATCCAAAAAACATTCAATTCTTAATGATGTGGAGAAGTGGTGTTTGGTTTTTGATAAAGACAGGTCCAGCAATTTCGGAGATACGGAGCTAAATGTGCAAAAAGGAAGAAAAGGAAAAAAAAAAAAAAATAATTTCCAAAAAAAACATTTTTTTGAATATCGAAAATAATTCGGATTTTCAAATATTTAATTTGGTAAGGGAAGTTCCCAAATTCAAATTGCCTCAAGGCACGATGCCATACACCACTATTTAATTTTAATTTGGTCCACTGAATTAATTTTTAAAACTGTTCATGTTTTTCTATGTTACTCCCGATTATTTATTATCGCAAATTTTATTTATGTTTTGCATGTATTTCACCATGAGATTTTTTTTTTTTCAGGTCAGTTTAAATCAGTGGCTGAGGTTCTTATGAATGATTTAACAACACACAGCAGCAAGAATTTGTTAACACGTCTTCGAAGAGCTGTCCAAGATGTGGACATCCAAGACGCTGCTGTCCTTTTACCTTTCATTATGAACAATGATGTTGTTAAACAGCAGTTATTAAGGGTTGTTACTAATTTTATTACTACAGAAATGCGTATGATGTTAACATGAAATATTTCATATGGAAGAATTGACTGAATATTATTAATAATTTTATGATATTATATAGTGTTAAATATATATTTTAATTAGAATTAATCATTTTTATAAATAAAGATCAAATTTGCAAATACTTAAATTGAGAAATGTTTATTTGTAGTTATTATATTATATTATATATTACAGACTTTTATCGAATAACAGTGTAATTATCACAATTGAATTCTATTGAAGCAAATATTTACATATCACATCACTTTTACTTTTGCTGTGATTTTGAAAACAATGATGTCGTAGAGCGTATAGAACACTCAAGTATATGGATTTATATTTAATTAATTTTCCAATTACATGGGAATTAAACATAATGACTTTTCTTGCTGTTTGTCTAAATTGGTTTAATAATGATTTTGTATCATTTGTACTGGCAGCATTTGTACAAACCAATTTAGACAAACAGCAAGAAAAGTCAGTTTGTTTAATTCCCATATAATTGGGAAATGCTCGAATTTAAACATGGTTTATGCAGACAAAAATTTGCAACATATATATATGTTGTTTTTTTCCACTCAACGACATAATTAGGAATTTTCGTTTTTAAACATAATTATACAATCAAATAAAAAATATGCTAAATTCTAACAAAAGTTTTATTTTTTGCATAATTTTCATTCAACAATGTGATTGGAAAATTTGGATTTGGAAAAAGTGCAAACAAACCATACCATACATTTAAAAATTTTCAACAAAGTTTTGTTTTTATTGACAATTTGTGCTCAATCACTTAATTGGAAGTAATAATATGGAAACAGCAATGTAAATAAAACTAGTTGGTATTAGTATTTTGCCTTGAGGCAAGTAATTTATGAGTGATTAAAAGTATTCCGAATGGATTAATTTCATATAATTTTCAAAATTCAACAATTTTTATAATTAAACCAGTTTCCGTAGGACTTCAATGGTTTAGTATGTTCATTAAGACCAAGTATTGTATCGCGATTTGTAATTTGTAATTTAAAATTAAACTACTTACCGTAAGGCCGCAATGTTTCAGTAAGTTCTATGATATATATCGCCAAACAAAGTTCCATAAAAATCGGCTTAAATTTTGTTTTCAACAGTTAAGTAATTACAAGATAACGGCTCGGTAGATTTTCACCTAAAACTAATCAGTATTAGTGATGTAACGAATGTTCGCATTCGCATTCGCATTCGCGAATATTCGCATATTTTTCGATATTCGCATTCGCATTCCTATTCGCAAAAACCGATGCGAATATTTAGCGAATGTATTTAACAAACAAAAAGGAAATTATTATATAGTTGCATATGAAATGATAACACAACTGATAAGATTTATATATTTTTATTTAATTTTCACTTATTTATTTTTCTATTCCACTATATATTTTCTAAGAATTAAATATGATAATGAAATATAAACCTAAAAAACCATATAATGAATACTTGACTATTTGTAAATAAGCTTTTTGCCAAAAAAAAAAAAAAAATATTTATTTCTATTGCAAACAAAAGTAAAGTTCTAATATTCATAATGTTAACATTTGGTTTCAATTGCACATTTTTTCACTAATTTTCTTTTCCTATGAATTAAAAATAATGAAATATAAACTACACAATTATAGTTTTGCTAATAACAAGTTGACACAGTTGACTATTAAAATAAACTCGCTGTAACTTTAAATTCTTAGTAATTAAATTGAAGTTCTTTTAGTGATACAGATTTTGAAAGACTGAAAGAATGGCACAAAGTTTTCCTTAACCTGATTAGTCATTTTAGGACGCTTTGAATTTGAACATGAAGGAAAGCTTAAGTCCTCATTTCCAATTAAATCCAAAATATTTTTCACGACCTGATCTTTGGTTGAAGGATTTTCGGAAAATTTCGATTTGTACCATGTTTCTTGTAGATTAGCAAGTTGATCTTGAGCTACATTAGAGTGGTAAAAATGTGTTGCTATCTTTTTACATTTGAAATGTCAAACATTTTGCGCGCGCTTTATTTGAAATTTAACATTCGCATTCGCATTCGCATTCGCGAATATTGAAGATGAATACTCGCATTCGCATTCGCATTCGCGAATGTGAAAAATCCAACATTCGTTACATCACTAATCAGTATCATTCCCAACTAATAATAATATCTTTCGAACAGTTTTTGATTTTTTAAAACGATTCGGTAGTATGAGCTTAAATGTGGACGAAAAGTTCAGCACTTTTTGCCAAATTACAAAGAAACGGCTTGGCAGATCGTCGCACAAAACTGACAAACGATAGTCCTCATAGGGTCCTCATTGAGATACATCAAATGGCTTTTAAATTTCTGAAATCGGTCTAGCCGTTTTTGAGAAAACATCGATTCATACATACTTCTTCCAAAGGTATCATTCGATTCAGAATGGCTTGAAACGTCGAGAGAACACAAATTAGCCAATCGGATTTTTTGATAAAAACAAACTTCTCCTTCGGGAAGTTAAAAATTGCAAATTTCAAAGAACAGTTTTCTGGATAATTTTCAAATTGACAGCATTTACGCGCGTCTGCTATTACGGGATTCCCACATTAATATACGCGCATAAGTATATTACGCGGAAATCCCCTTTTTAAAATTCAATAATTAGTATACTGTATGTGCGCGTACGTAAATTTATTTATATGGTGACATCTCTAGTTTTATGTAATCTTTATTTGTTTTAAAATAAATAATTTAAGTGTTCAATCATTCAATATATATATTGATTATCCGAACAAGTAAGAGAGAAAAATACCTATATATCCGAACAAGTAAGAAGGGAAAATACCTATATTTCTCGTTTTGATTTTCAAAATCCATATTGATATAAGTAGATGATAACTATTATCATTAGATACCAAATCCATATCATTTGGTACCTATATAAATAAAATCCCTCCAAGCAATAAAAAACAGTACATGTGCGTTTGAAATTTGTGCTAGATAAAAGGTTAGTGCTTGGTGTTGATATTTTTTTAAATTTATTTAAACATTTTATTAGCAATTATGTTTTGTCGACTTAAACCAAATCAAAAAGTCAACTTGTGGTGTATGGGGCATGGTGCCTTAAGCAAATTATTGGAGCTTCTCGTTCCGAAAATTAATTTTTTTTAAAAGCTTTATGTTTTGAGAAAATATTAAAGAAAATTAATATTGAGAAAAGTTTGAGAAAAATAACGTTTTGAGAATTTTGAATTTTTTTGAAAAAATTTGACATTTATGAAAAATTTGATCTTGTTTTAATATTTCAAAATTTTGAACATTTTTTCAAAGCAATTGCACTGCGTACCCTTATCAAAATCTCGATGAAATATCTGATAATTTCAAGTTCATATATCTAATTATGATTTTTGACCGCCAAATGGCATTTTTTTGTACTTTTTAATTGGATCTACCCTCATCGGTTCTTCATTTCGTATATACGAATAAAATGTTTTTAAATCATTCAAATTGAACGCTCCGTTCTCTCAAAAATTGATTTGCGATTTTTGGTACTTTTTGCCTCGTATCTTTGAAACGACTGAACTTGCCTTTGCAAAAAAAAAAAACAATTTAACAATCGGCGGAAAATTGTATTTGCACTTATATACATACACATACAGGCATTCATTTCTGGCAAGTATGCCAAAATGTTCAGAAACTGCTGAAAATTAAAGATATGCAAAAAATTATTTCCGATTTTTTTTGCGATTACTATATATAACTTTCTCTGGTTAATTACCATACTGAAAGATAAAAAATTTCGAAATTTAGATTTTTAGTTTGAATTTAGAAGATATCTTCTTTCTATCTATGGTAATAACTTAACGTAGAAAGAAGAAAATATTTCAAGTGAGTTTTTCAAACTTCTGAAATACCAAATCGCACTGTGATTCTTCAGGGAATTTACGGCAGTAAACTGAATCACTGGTTACTTATCAATATAGATATTTTTCGTTATACAACCGGCTCCGAAAATTTGTTTGGTGACCCTCACAAAGAGATTTTTTTTTCTCAAACAATAAGGAATAACATTGCCCAAAATTTATTACTTAATCAATAATTTTTCCAAATTTCTTACAAACAATTAAACAATTTAAAATCAGAATCGGTATCTAATATTATGTTTTAAGTTTATTATAAATCGTTTGAGGCGAAATTCGGAAGAAGTATGTGCGTGTGTACGTGAAGCAAAATTTTACTTTTTGCAAACGTTTTCTTGAAAAAGAATGAAATTATTAAAAATATGTCGTCGTCGGTTCATCTGAAGATACTAAAATTTTCGTTCAAGTTTATCCTAAAATCCTGAACCGATTTTAATAATTCAAAAACTGTTCTAAATAGATCGGTTAAGAATAGGTAAGAAGATAGTTTTTGGTAAATATTGGCCAGATCGTTTCTACGTAATTAAAGTAAAAAAAAAGCTGAAAATAATGACGATTTTGATGAATTTTCGTGATCGCAAAGATCAGTACCTCAGAGCATACTACATATTTGATAGTATAATGCCTGATACAGCAATGATTACAATCCACTGTAATAGTTTCCATAAATGAGTGCATATTTTATAAAAATCGCAAATTAGGTGAGTAGTACCGCATGCAATTTTAATCGTAGATAACGATAAATATCGTGCTTTTTTATCTGATTGTGATAACCATAGATAAATGAATGGTGATAATTATCCATATATATAGTTAACGTGATTGTTATATAAACGATATTAAGAAAAAATGATTTTTTATCTTAATGTTATGCATCAAGATAAAAAAATATTTTATCTAACAGCGTCTAGCTAGAGATATTTTTACAAATGTGTTGGTAAGCAACCGCACACCTGTATAAATATGTCCCATCCCCGATTCAGGGGATTCTTACTCTTTTAAAAGAGCAAGTCGTCGAACATAGACCTTCAGGGGTAACAGTTGAAAGATTCTTTAAGGGTCTCTACTCTAGCAGTTGTTCGTAATGGTAGTAAACAGCCATAGCAATAATGTATATAGATTGGTTAGTTATGCCTCTCATTATAGTAGTATTTAAATATTAGTTAATTTACAGCTATTCACGAGTCAACTGATTTTCAACAGTAAGAAATTATGAAAGTGAATTTCCAACACTTTATTTTATAAGATTTACCTAATAAGTATTAATTGCTGCCTTGTGAAAAAATATTTTTTTGATTGTCATCAAATTGTATGCCACTATTCACAAAACAATTCAAAAATTCTTTGTATTAAAATTATTAATATTAAAAAAAAATAAGAAGATTGAAGTGGATATGTAAAACTTTCAATTGTTTATTATTGCCTTATTTTAAAACTGATAGTTTAATAAATTATGTTATTTTTATCGTTAACTTCCCGTATGGTAAATTATTGTAATCGTCCTAAAATCGAAATTGAAAATGTTTGCATATCTTCACGTTTTAAAGGATTCTGAAAATTTTGGCATACCTCAGAAAAAATGGATATGCGTGCGTGTGCGTTTTGTGTGTCCGCAAATTTTCGTCTACGTTTTCGGGCGCAATTATTAACCGATTTGAATGGTTCCAAAAACACAGTACCTCCAAAATGGCTCAGCCAACTTTTGCCAAATACTTATCAGCACGTCTCCCCGTCAATACGAACTGAATGTTGTTTGAATAATTCAATTCCGTGCGCCCGAAAACGTGGACGAAAACAACAACACACAAAATGTTCAGAAACCTTCAATACGAAGGTAAGATATGCAAAAATTATCATTTTTGATTTTCTGCCCATTACTATAACTACCCTACGGGAAGTTAATTAAAAAAACTTAAAAGAATTTAAACACTTTTTTACTGGTATCCACTCCTTGGTGCTCCTTTTTTTATTAGTGTTAATTGTACCATTTCCTTTTTGATTGATTTTATAATCACATTTGATTGAGTGTATTGAGTAAATTTTTTATGCATAAATTTATATCAGAGACCTGCCTGTTTTCTATTTTTTTCATAATCTCGCGCATTAATTCTGTCAAAAAATCATAGTCTATATCTTCAGCATCTACATCATCAGAATAGCTAGTAACCGGTTCTTCTAAATTATTTATCTCTTCAGATTTTTCTTCCGTCCTACAAAGTTCTTTTTCCTGATTTGTTAATAGTACTGTCGCCTGTTTTGGTAAAACTCGGTTTTTGATGTTCCGTATATCTTTTTTTGTGATCAGAGAAGCTCTCAAAGGTAATTCGTTGTTAAATGAAGCTTCACGAACACTTTCCATAATGATATCGTCTTCAACTCCAGCTAAAATTTTATCTGTAAAAATTATAATATAACCTAGTTGTAAGTGGCTTTTGGCTAGTTATAAAAAGTAAGTTGCATGAATTTCCCAGCATATGTAAATAATCGACTTAATCAATAACAAGTCAACATTTATTATTAGTGATTTGTAAATGTACCAAGTTGCGATAAAACATCATAATTTGACAAAATATTGCAGATTATTCATTCATTAACACGCTTTCAATACATCTAATTCAATTATAATTAATTTTCATAAATAAACTACTATTCGTAGGACTGTAATATTCTAGTATGTTGATTAGGATTAGGACCATGTACTCAATCATCATACAAATTTCATTCAAATCATCGAAAAAAGAAGAAAAGAATTATCAATAAATTTTGAAGAAAGGTTTGGCCGTTCTTTGTCAAGAACTAATCAGCACGATTTCCAATGATATCTTTCGAACAGTTTTTGAATTTTCAAAATCCATTCAGGATTTTTGGCTAAAAAGCAGACGAAAATTTTTGCGCATTTCTGGTAATTCCAAAAAAAAAACGCCTCTGCCGATCGTATTGAAAAACTTACCAACGCGCGAGTGCTTGCAAAGTATCATCGACCGGATTTAAATTTTTTGAAATCGGTTCAGTCGTTTTTAAGAAAACTTCGATGAGAATGTATATATTATAAATTGTAATTGTATATATGTATATATACAGTATGTATTACACACACTTTTTGACTTGGAACATGGAGAAAACAAAATTAGCAAATCAAATTTTCTGTTGAAAACATAAACGTATATAATAAATAGTTAATGAATAATTAACTATATTATATAATTAACTATATTAATTAATAATATTTATTATATACGTTTCAACATTGTATGTTCAGCATGATTAACATATTCAAACCAAGAAAAAATACAGTACAGTCTCAATTAACCGGACTAATTGTTTTCGATAGGAATTCGGATAATCAAAAATCCGGATAATCGAATGTATAAAGAATAATGTTGTGTATTTATTAAAAATAACAATGAGAGAAATTTATAAAATCACATGTTTTAATAAAATCTTTTTTAGTAAAAAAGTGTTAGTGCATAATCAATCATACAGGTAATTAATTCTGTTTTTTCTGTAAGTTGTTTTTATAAACCTACTAATTTTTTAATATTTGTAATATGAACTTCCCGAAGGAGAAGTTTGTTTTCATCAAAAAATCCCATTCGCTAATTTTATGTTTTCTCGACGTTTCAAACCGCTCTGAATCAAATGAGACCAAATTTGGAAAAAGTATGTGTGTGTGTGTGTGAACAGATTTTTTGCCGTAAATCGACGTTTTCTCAAAAATGGCTGGACCGATTTCAAAAATTTAAAAGCCATTCGATGTACCTCGATGAGGACTAGCGTTTATCAATTTTGTGCGACGATCAGCCAAGCCGTTTTTTTGTAAATAGCAGAAAAGTGAAAATTTTTTCGTCCACGTTTTAGCCCGCAGTTCTGAACCGATCTTGAAAATTCAAAAACCGTTCGAAAGATATTGATTGGGAATCGTGCTGATTAGTTTTTGGTAAAAATCGGCCTGGCCGTTTTCTTGTAATAAAGTGTTAAAAAAAAATTTTTCGACGATTTTTTAATTATTTTTTTGACGGTAGATACTATAGTCTTCTAGAAGATCATACTGAAATATTACGGCCCTACGACCATTGGTTTAACTTTGAAAATTCGTCAAAGTTTGCAAAAATTGGTATCGTTTTTTTGGCATTTGTCAAAATTAGACCCTTCATCGACGTTTTCTCAAAAACGCCTGAACCGATTTCAGAAATTTAAAAGCCATTTGATGTATTTCGATGAGGACTATCGTTTGTCAGTTTTGTGCGGCGATCTGCCAAGCCGTTTCTTTGTAATTTGAAAAAAAAAAGTGTTAAACTTTTCGTCCACATTTAAGCTCATCCTACTGAACCGATTTTAAAAAATCAAAAACTGTTCGAAAGATATTGGTTGTGATTGATGCTGATTAGTTTTGGGTGAAAATCTACCGAGCCATTTTCTTGTAATTTACTGTTGAAAAAAAAAATTTAGGCCGATTTTTATGGAACTTTTTTTGGCGATATACATCATGGTCTTATAGAACTTACTAAAATATTACGGCCTTACGACATGTAGTTTAATTTTAAAAATTCATCAAAGTTTGAGAAAATGAGTAGTTCTTTTGACATTTGTTAAAATTAAAATTAGACTATTTACTTGGTATAATGATAGAGTACTTGGTCTTGAACATAATAAACCATTAAAGTCCTGGAAACTGGTTCAATTATAAAAATTATTGATTTTTGAAAATTTGCTTTTAGAAAATACTCCGAATCAAAGTGTTTGTTCGTTTTCAAATATGTGTAATAAATCCGCTCGGAATATTTTTAATGACTCATAAATTAATTTATTTTTTATTGATTAAGTCAATTATTTAAACATATCGGGAAGTTCATGTAACTTGCCTCAAGGCTAAATACCAAACCAACTAGTTTTGTTATATAATCTACTCATTTGTTTTTTTATCAAGATCATATTTCTTCCGAAACGTCAATAGTAAATAAATAAAGAAATGGTTTTTAAATAAACTTTTTCGTTTTTTATTACTTTTTGGATTCTTTGTTCGAAGCTCCAAAAAATATTTCTATATATATTTATATATATATATATATATATATATATATATATATATATATATGTTGAATTTGTTATTTAATTTTGATGTTGAGATATATGTTGTTATTGATGATATAAAAATATATATCAAAACATATTGATTAAAATAAAAATTTTATAAATCTTTGAAATTGATGTATTGCTTTTAAATATAACCACACACACACACACACACACACATATATATATATATATATATATATATATATATATATATATATATCTTCTATATATATAAAAATAAGTCGGGTTTTCCTTCCTGACGAAATAACTCCAGAACGCACGAACCGATTTCGACAATTTTGCATTCGTTGGAAAGATCTATAGCTAAGAAAATTAGTTGTGCATGGCATCGTGCCCTAATGCAAATTGCTGGAACTTCACGCACCGTAATTAAAAATTCGAGTAATGACATTAGTGAGAATTATCAGAATTATGCTTGGTTAAGTCAACAAACAATTCTTGCCGCAAAGTATAATGATGTAAACGCACTGAATTTCACCATTCAATCAAAAATTGCTCGTGATTTGGTTTGACTTCAAACGATTGCAATTTCCAGTTCGCCTTGCGTTCGCAATAACAAGTCGCAAGGCCAATCGCTTAGTGTTTGCGAGATAAATTTCAAATAGATTATTTAGAAAATCATTGTTTTTCACATGGGCAGTTATACGTTGCCTGTTCACGAGTTGGAAAACTATCCGCTTTGTTTGTGTTAACGTCATACCCAAAAAACAAAAAATGTGGTTTACCAAAGATAACTTCCATGAAACGGATAATTTGCGGATTCACATTCATTTACTTAGAGAAGTTCAACTAAAAAACACTTCATTTTTGTTATCGAAATAAATTCATTACTGTTGTGCAATAAAATCATATTTTTCCTTTTCAAATATAGAACAAACAAAAAATTTCTTCATCTTTCTCACGAAAACATCTAGTGGCGAAACGGAGTTCGTCGGGTTTGCTAGTATATATATAATTATATAATATATATACATACATATATATATATATATATATATATATATATATATATATATTAGGTTGTCAAATATCTCCCTTCCGCCTTTTTGTATTATAAACCAAGAGCAAAAAAGCAGAAGGGAGATATTTGACAACCTAATATATATATATATATATATATATATATGAGTGAGTTCTTGAGGGCGATACATCAAACAAAGAAAAGCCAAAGATTTATAAAATAATCTTTATTTCCAAACGTTTCGACATTCAATTTAATGTCATCATCAGTGGATCTAAAAACAGTATGAAAATTAGCATATCTAGGTAATTATAATATATGTGGATTGGTAAAGTAACTATACAATAAGAGAAAAATTAACAAATAGCAACACTTAACAACAAATCAAATATAAAAGATAGGAAAGGTAGTAGAGACTAGAATTAAATAAATAATTAAAAAGTATAGGCAAAAATATTTAAGTACACTCATATAAACTTACGCATATATACATATATGTACGTACACATATACACACATATACATATATATATATACATATATATATATACATGCATATATCCATATACACACACATACAAACATATAATACACATATACATATACAGATACAACAATATATACCTATATATGTACACATATACATGTAAGACTATACACATATAAATATACGTATATACATATATGCAACGTGCATGCATATTCACAACGACGTACATGTACATGTATGAACCATACATATACTCATACCTATCTATGTAACTATAGCTATACACGTATACACATACATATACGCATAAACATGTATATACACATATATACACACATATATATATACATATATATACATACATATATATATATATACACACAATACATATATATATACATATGTACATAAATGCTCACAAATATATATATATATATATATATATATATATACATATATATATATATACATATACATACATATATATATATACATATATATATATACACATACATACATGCATATATACGTATATATAATTACATGTATACACATATAAATATGCACATACATACAAACATACATGTAAATAAGCAATATACATATATATACATACATACATACAAATACATATATATATATATATATATATATAAACATACAATATATGTAAACTCGTATATATGTAAAGCAAACAAATTATTTATGAAGATGGATAATACATATAAAATACAAGTGGACTTACATTACGTTGGTTAGTTACATATAGAGAAGTGTACACAGCACTAGAGATTTGGCACTAACATTTATACAACTAACTTGTCAGCACTATGCATTTTTTTATATAATTTTTTTGTATGATGTAAACAGAAAAATGATAGTTTTATTGAACAAAAATGTAAGTAGAATTATGTAATTTCTGCCACGACTTCTGTACTTTGCTAGTACCGAGGCATGTATAAAAGTCACCACATGTTTTGAGAGATTTTTAAGGGTCATTCCAGGATTGTTATGGGCGGGTAGGTAGAAAATAGTCGGAAGTTGAAACTAGTAATGTTAGGCTAGGTTTGTATGGTTAGAATTAGGAGAAAAAAATTGGAAATATTATTTAGTATTACTAAGTAGTTATACTAATAACTCAAAAATCTAAAATAAAATTTTTTTAAGGTTTATTCAAAATTTGCTATGTATGGGTAGGTAAAGCTCGGGTATCAAGGCCGAAGTTAAACTAGGAAGTGTTGGCAAGGTTAGTAAGGTCAATTAGTTTTGTTCAGAGGAGATAAATTTGGAAACATTATTTAGTATTACTTGGTAGTTATCGCAGAGTAAGGAGGAATCCGATCTTTTGTTCACCACGTGGTCACATATTGATATGAAACAAGATTCTGCAAAACGTCTCTGAATGGTGTTCCGTTCATGGTAGAGAATACTGGCATTATAAAAGTTAAAGGAGTGTTTGAAATTTTTTATGTGTTCTGTTATCATAGTTTGGTTTTGGTTGGGGTTTTTCGAATTATTGTCGTGTTGTTTGAGTCTTTTTATTAAATTTTGTCCGGTTTCACCTATGTAAGTAGAAGGGCAATCATTGCAATTTATTTTGTAAACAATGTTGGAAGTACGTTCTATACTAGTGGGAGATTTCAGGTTTGTGTAGAGGGATTTAAGAGTTAGATCTATGTTGCAGGTTAGTCTGATGTCTACCTTATGAAAAAGTTTTTTCCACACTGGAAAAAGTTCTTTTACGTAAGGTAAACAAACGTTGCCTATATAGTTATTGTCTTTAGAATTTTTTTCTGGGGAAAAAGAAGAATGCATACTGTTAAGGGTTTTAAGTCTGTTGGAGGTGACGGAGTTGATGAGGTGCGGTGGATATGAGTTGTTAATTAAAGTTGTGCGGATGAGGGATAAGTTAGAGGGCCAAAATTGTTTGTCTGAGAGTAGGATGGCATGGTCGACTAAATTAATAATAGTGCCTATCTTCATGCTAGAAGGGTGGTAAGAATGATAATTTAAATACCTACCCGACCAAGTAGGTTTTTGGAACCAATTGGTGATAATTCGATTGTCTGCGGTTTTTATAATTTTTACGTCTAAAAAGCTGATAGAATTTTCTTGTTCTTTTTCAAACGTAAAGGAGAGATGCTCATTAAATGAGTTAAAACTATGAAGTAAGAGTTCGAAATTTTTAACAGGAACACAAGTAAGGATGTCATCAACATATCTGTAATAAAAATGAAGGTCTAGATTGTAGGAATTAAAAACTTTCAACTCTAAGTGTTGTAAAGCAATTTCTGCGAGTGAAGGGGAAATAGGAGAACCCATAGGTGTGCCAAATATTTGAAGGTAAAAATGGTCGTTGAATTCGAAATAAGTATTCGAAACTATGAATTTTATGGACTCGAGAAACCAATGCAGTGATAATGTTGTATGACAAGAGATTTCGTCCCATCTAGCAGTGATGGCATCTAAAATTAATTGTAGGGGGACGTTTGTGAATAGGGATACTACGTCAAGACTAACCAATAAGGAGTTATCAGGAATAACGGAATCGCGGAGATTGTTGACAAGTTCAAAGGAGTTTTTTGTAAAGAAACGAGACTTGACTGTGACTGAAGAGAGTATGTTGCTAAGGTATTTGGAGAATTTTGAAAGAGGTGAGTTCAGGTCAGCCACGATAGGTCTGAGAGGAACGTTGTGTTTATGTATTTTAGGAAGTCCGTAGAGTTTGGGGTTGTAAGGGTGAAGGTTTTTAATTGTCAGTGAGATTTGTGGAGTAATTTGTTTGTTAGAGACTAAGTTGTTTACAAATTTGTGAAAAGTACGGTTAATTCGGTCAGTGGGATCGGAGTTAATAGGAGAATATGTTTTTGTGTCTGAAATTAATTCGGAGACTTTTTCAAGGTACGTGGTTTTTTCCAAAATGACTGTGATATTCCCCTTGTCGGCCCTCGTAATTAAAATGTTAGGGTTTTCTTTAATAAAAAGTTTGCAAGTTTTAATGTCTCTAAGGATGTCAATATTGTCGATTTTTTTGTGTTAAAAGATTTAATAAACGAGAGAAAATTTTTACAAAAAGCTGAACGGGTATTAGTTTTAATTTCGGGATTTTTTATATTCTGTAAGCTTGACTCTAATCTGCTGAGTACTTTGATAAAATTAAAGTTGTGACAGTTGTTAGGAATAGCAAAATTTGGGCCTAGTGCAAAAATATAGAGTAGTCTATCAGGTATATGGATATTAGATAGATTTTTTAGCCATTTATTGGTAAGAGATTCGTTCAGGATGATTTTTGACGAATTCATTTTTGATTCGTGTAATTTATTGAATTTTTTAATATATGAGGTTTTGGATTTGTTGTAGTTCTTTTTAATACGAATGGATTCAAATTCAGAGAAGCTCTCCAGGATCTCGGTTTCAACAGAATACGATAACCAAGAATAGATTTTATCAATAGCACGTCTCAGGTTATTGGTGTGACAAATGCAATTTTTGATTTCTAGTGAGAGAATATGTAAACTAAGTTTAGAAAACTTGTTGTTAAGAGAATTGTTCAGATGAGAAAATTTTGTAAAATTTAGGCGATAAAAATTAGGTATGATACCTTCTTTCCTGCATCTGATAAGAAAGATCTGTTTATTGATATTGGTAGAAAGTTTGAAGTTTAGTTTAGCTAATACCTTAAATTCTGAAAGGATGTAAGAACCATAATGTTTATTGATGAAATTATAAAAGGAAGGATTAGGGAGGATGTCATTGGTGATACAATTCTCTTGTATAAAATTTTTTTTATTACAAGTAGCCTGTGTGGGTTTCATAATGCTCGTTAAAGGAAAAGAGTAGCTAAAAAAAATAAATTTAAAGAAAGTAAAAAATTGGTGACAGAATAACAAGCAAGTGGTATGAATGTTAGAGCGTACAAAGTAGAACAATCTTAAGTTAAAACTAACAATAACTGTGAACATACAAACAATTGATTAAAATAAAGATGAAAAAATATCTTTACATATATACGAGTTTACATATATTGTATGTTTATATATATATATATATATATGTATTTGTATGTATGTATGTATATATATGTATATTGCTTATTTACATGTATGTTTGTATGTATGTGCATATTTATATGTGTATACATGTAATTATATATACGTATATATGCATGTATGTATGTGTATATATATATATATGTATATATATATATGTATGTGTATATGTATATATATATATATGTATATATATATATATATATATATATTTGTGAGCATTTATGTACATATGTATATATATATGTATCGTGTGTATATATATATATATGTATGTATATATATGTATATATATATGTGTGTATATATGTGTATATACATGTTTATGCGTATATGTATGTGTATACGTGTATAGCTATAGTTACATAGATAGGTATGAGTATATGTATGGTTCATACATGTACATGTACGTCGTTGTGAATATGCATGCACGTTGCATATATGTATATACGTATATTTATATGTGTATAGTCTTACATGTATATGTGTACATATATAGGTATATATTGTTGTATCTGTATATGTATATGTGTATTATATGTTTGTATGTGTGTGTGTATATGGATATATGCATGTATATATATATATGTATATATATATATGTATATGTGTGTATATGTGTACGTACATATATGTATATATGCGTAAGTTTATATGAGTGTACTTAAATATTTTTGCCTATACTTTTTAATTATTTATTTAATTCTAGTCTCTACTACCTTTCCTATCTTTTATATTTGATTTGTTGTTAAGTGTTGCTATTTGTTAATTTTTCTCTTATTGTATAGTTACTTTACCAATCCACATATATTATAATTACCTAGATATGCTAATTTTCATACTGTTTTTAGATCCACTGATGATGACATTAAATTGAATGTCGAAACGTTTGGAAATAAAGATTATTTTATAAATCTTTGGCTTTTCTTTGTTTGATGTATCGCCCTCAAGAACTCACTCATATATTTCAACATCAAAATTAACTACTAAATCATATATATATATATATATATATATATATATGAGTGAGTTCTTGAGGGCGATACATCAAACAAAGAAATATATATATATATACGAGGTGTGTTCAAAAAGTACCCGGAATTACTAATAATTAAATTTCGCGGGTCTGGAGTGTCTGATTGTCAAAAAATTTTTTTTTTATTGTGTTGGTATACATGCCCCTAAAGTATGATGAAATTTTCAGCTATATTCACTGTTTACTTTGTCTGTGGTAGTCGCTAAGGTTCGACGTGTTTTTCTGAGCTCGGCGATTTTTACAATGGAAGAATTGAAAAGTCAAAGAATTTGTATTAAATTTTGCGTAAAAAATGAAATAAAGTGTTGCAAAGTGCAAAAATTCACCAGATATGGCTCCGTGTGACTTTTTCCTATTCCCAAAGTTGAAGAGACCCATGAAAGGACGGCGGTTTTCCTCGATTGAAGAAAATCGCTGAGAGTGCTCAAGGACATATCAAAAAGTGAATATCAAGGGTGCTTCGAAAATTGGAAAAAACGCTGGCATAAGTGTATTATATCTGGGGGGGACTACTTTGAAGGGGACCACATTAATGTAGACGAATAAATAAATATTTTTTTGAAAAAACGAAAATTCCGGGTACTTTTTGAACAGACCTCGTATATATATATATATATATATATATATATATATATATATATATATATATAGCAATTTTTATTCATACCTTTGATGAGATTTTTTGAATGTTGGTCGAGTGGCAAATATTTTAGAATAATCTCATGGCCCACATGGGTCTTAAAATATTCAATGTTTACTTGACCATCATTACATATTGTGCAGACAATACGTGCTGGACAAGCATATCCAATTTTTTTGCTTGTCTTTTGGAATGCACCTTTCTTCTCTTCATAAGCATATGAACGATGGCAGTTGTAATATATCACTTTGTGCCCATTTTTCATTTTGTACCCTGTACTGTTTTTTACATATCTGTAGAAATGACATTGTTCCATGTCATCTTTCCATGTTTTAAATTCTAAAAAAAAGGAAGAAATTAGAAGAAATAATACTGAAGTACATATATTGATAAGGCCTGTAATTAAAAGTATACAAACCATTAATAGAAGAAAATGATATTTCTTCACTTTCAATATGTATTTGATGGTCAAGTTGTAGATGGGTATGTAAAGGACTGTATCTAGTAAATGACCTTTTGCAATCTTTCAAGGGGCATATGATGCGACTGTGTCTTGGCGGTCCTACAATTGAAAATGATTGTTACCCTCTGTTGCAATTCAGAATAAAAATGCCAAAATACTTACCTGAAAAATACTCAAACTGTTCTGAAACACTACTGGGTGTAAATAGGGGAGTCTTTGGAGAGGATAATTTTGGTGACACTGGACAATTGTCAGAATCTGTAGTTGAAAGAGGTTGCGGAGAGAAAGGTCCAGTGGAGTTAGTGGCAACATCAAATTGGTTAACGAAGGAATCAGAGCCAGAAATAAGGGGAGTGGATGGTGGTGTTGGATGAACGAATTCAGCATATGAATGGAGAGCAAGGGATGTTGTAGGATTAATACGGTGATTATTGAAATATGTTGTAAGTTCTGTTGCGGAAGGTACAACAGTAGTTTGGTGATGAGAGGAACAGCTTGGGGACTGAGGGTTGGTGGATTGCATCTTATCATGATCAATGGGAGCAGAAGTTGTGTGAGGACTGGAGGAGTGATAATGTTCAATATGTCTCTTGAGACCAAATTTCGAATGTAGTGCCTTTTTACAATGAATACATTCTAAGGTTGCTTTAAAATGTATCGGTTCTTCATCATGCTTTCCCCTAATATGTCTATATAATGAACCTTTCAATTTAAATGATTTAGAGCACTGAGTGCACTGGATATTGCCACTCATATTTATAATAAAAAAGATCTGATTAGAAGTAATGAAAGTAAGTAAGTAGCTATGTATGAATTTAAAGCTAACTAATAAAAGTATAACATTTTGAATGAAATAACCTATAATGAATTCTAATTGAAAAAATAAGTTTAAATCCACATTAAGCTTACTTGGTGATCCTAAAAACGTATTAAATAGAAATAAATTAGTGATGAAAGGAAAATTATAAGTAATCTACATAAAATATAAAATATAATACAATATTAATAAAATAACCTATAACATATCCTAATTAAAATATATATAAAAATAAATTAATCCGGCATGAAAACTTCAAAATTGTATTTGAAATAAATTGTTAATTAAATGCAAGGAAAATGTATCAAACTATAAATTATTAGTTAACATTAATTATTAAAAAAACACTGGCACTAAATCACACGAACACAAAAAAACACAAAACGTTAAACAATTAATTATTGTTATTATAATGTCCAGGTTCAATACAATAATAAATAATAAATAATAACATATAATGACAGAAGTATAATATATTTTAACAGGATTTTACATTCAGAAAGCTAGGGAAGGGGTCTGCCGCATAGGCTCGGTGGCGCTGTTATCGCTTATCGCTCGGCAACTCTGCGCTCGGAATACATTCAAACTACTGGCGCAAAATTTGAAATAACAAGTGGTACATGGCATCGTGCCTTAAGGCAAATTGCTTGAACTTTCCGTACTGAAAATAATTAAAAAAAAATTGCAAAACCTTAAAATTTGAAAAATTTGACTTTTTTTAAAAATTTGATTTTTTTACTTTTTGAATTTTATTTTGTATCTTGATTTATTATGAAAATCGAAAACTTTTTTTACAACAATCGCGCTGCATAGCTGATTTGGAGTCGAAATATCAAAACCGCGAGCGCCGCGTAGTCGTCTAACGTGTAAACATTGGTACGGAACTGTTATAAATGTACAAAATATTTGTATTTATTATTATAATCTTTATAAAATATCTGATAATACGATGTACATGTCTAATTTTCATTTTTGACCGCCAAATGGCTTTTTTTTGCCCCGTATCTCTGAAACGGCTAGACCTGCCTTTGCCAAAAACTAATCAGCATGTCTCATTATCAGTAGAAATCGAATGTTTTTTGAATTATTCAAATCGGTTAATCCGTGTGCCTGAAATCGTCGACGAAAATTTGTATTCGCACACACACACATACATCCATTTTTTCTAAGGTATGCCAAAATATTCAGAAACCTTTGCAACGTAACGATATATAAAAAATTTCATTTTTGTGTTTTTTGCGATTACTATAACAAACCCTACGGGAAGTTAAAAATGATGAATTTTAATAACCTAGAGATCACTAGATCTTTCATAACTACCGTATTTTTAAACTTATCTTAGGGTTTTTTTGTATCTTGATTTATTTTGAAAATCGAAAACTTTTTATAACTTTTTTTTAGGGTAAGTTATATTAATCGTTCGAAAAACCTAAAATGATTTTTTTTATGGCATCGTGCCTTAAGGCAAATTGCTGGAACTTCCCGTTCCAGAATTAAATATTTGAGGGAAAAAAATCATCAGTAATCAATAAATATTGATCAATGATTAATAACAATTGTTTTAAATATTTTCGAATAGATAATTATAATCTCTGTATAATTTTTTAACGATATATAGTTCATGAAATATACAGCGGATAAAAACTTGAGAAAGTTTACATTAGCAGAATGTGCCGAACAAATTTCTTACGATTAGAATAACGCATTTGAAATATATACATTTTCAAACTAATTCGTAAATTTGAAATTCATATTTGAAGGATAATACTTTGGAATTATAATATACTTTGTATATTATTGAAAATTTAAAAAAAACATCTGAAAATTTTGAAATTTGCTTGAGCCATATAAGTAAACTTTAAAAATTAAAAATCTTGATACGGAACCCAACAAAATTATAACAAAATTATTACTAATTCAAAAACTTTATCAAATATCTGATAATTTGATGCGAATATGTGTAATGTCTATTTTGACCGACAAATATATTTAATTATTTTACTTTTTCCTCTGTATCTCCGAAACCGCTGGACCTGCCTGATTTCATCAAATCTTCATTTTGTCATTACAAGCTAAATGTGTTTTGAATCATTCAAATCGGGCGCTCCGTTCTCTCAAAATCAGTTCAAGCGCTCTGCCTTGTGTAAACAGGGTCGTGAATTCGAACCCTCGCTCTGGATAACCTGATATCATGCAGATATTAATTTCAACTTGAAAATATAGATCAAAAATATGTTTTCAATAGGCTATTTCGAGCACTGAGAAGTAAAATGCCAATGGCAAATCTTTCACACTATTCTTCTCTGAATCGAGTTGTTCTTGCTCAGAGTCTAGAAGTATACATACGGCCTTTTTAACACAATTAAATTCTAACTTTTGGTTCTGTAGTTTTAATTTTATGCCGTATACAAAAAATTATAATCACTTTATCATTATCAGAAATTCAAATATATTATTAATTGAAAATTGTTTCCTTAAAGTTTCGCCAAAATGACCAAGAAAAATCAAAAAATAATTTGTCCATGTCGATTACTCATTCTGCAAAGTATTTATAATAAGAACTACTTAATTATAAATATTTTTTAATAGATTCTTCAAAATGCCGGTAACAGGAAGACAGATCATACAGGCTGTTTCACAACTTACAGAATTGGAAGAAATGCAGATCACATTTAAAGAAAGTGCAAAGTGGGCCGCTATAACCGGAGCCGCTGTTTTGACGGGAGGAATGTTACTCGGACCTGTAGGTTTGGCCCTAGGAGGCATTGTCGGAGGAGTTGCTGGTGCAATTCAGGGACAAGGTAAACAGAATATATAGTGTTTGGTAATAAAATAATTTCGAATAATACTGGGTATGAGCGGATTGCCTTATAAAAACGGCTGTTTGCTACGATTAAATTTATACGCATGACTACCTATATGTGTACTAGTGTCGACTTTATACGACATGCAGGGTGTCGACCTTTCAAGAGACATTTATCACTTATGTCTTAAATATTGAGAGTTCTAATTTCTTTATTTTTTAAAAGTGCAATTTTATATTTTAAAATACTTAATTTTAATTGATACTGAATGAATTTTTAAAATACGATGACGTGACCCGGGCGACTCGCTGTTCTGTACAGCAGCGACACTGCTGTGGAATACTCTCTCGTAGCGACATGGTTAGACATTTTCGAAAACAAACCGATGTACCAATTTTCAATATCCTACCTCATTATTTAACCATTATTTATCATCCGAAATATGTGAATGTGACCCCCTTATCAAACATTTTTTTGTAGAAACTTTAAAATTTTCGAAAAACATTTGTGTTGGACTTTTATTTATAACATTTGTTAGGGCTTGAAGAGGTAGTATGATTTTTACTTTCTCGATGTAGATTTTTTTTTCGCCAGAAAACCCGATTAGCTAAATTTATGTTTTTTCGACGTTTCAAGCCATTTCGAGTAGGCTGACACCAAAGTATGTGCATATATCATATATGCATATTCGTCCTTTTTGTCGACAATTTTTGAAAATGTTCCCAAAGGCAGGACCTACTTTAAAAGCATTTAAGAGCAATTCAATGAAACTCTGTAAGAACTCTGGTTAATTATGCAAGACGATTGTCCGAGCCATTTCTTTATAATTATCAGATACATAATTGAAATATTTTCCCCAATGTTTTAGACAAAAATTATGAACCGATTTTCAAAATTCCAAATTGCAAGTGTTGTTAATTTTGTTCTTATTTAAAACAAATACTAAATTAAACTTTAAATAATAGGTATCCACCAATTACAAATTTTATACCAATTTGTTGAGGATGACTTGCAACATCAAGAAAATGTAAAAATTAGCGAATTGACTGATCAAACGCTTGTAAAATCTGAACATTAGAATACAATAAAAAAAATCAATATACATATTTGATATACGAGGTGTGTTCAAAAAGTACCCGGAATTACTAATAATTAAATTTCGCGGGTCTGGAGTGTCTGATTGTCAAATTTTTTTTTTATTGTGTTGGTATACATGCCCCTAAAGTATGATGAAATTTTCAGCTATATTCACTGTTTACTTTGTCTGTGGTAGTCGCTAAGGTTCGACGTGTTTTTCTGAGCTCGGCGATTTTTACAATGGAAGAATTGAAAAGTCAAAGAATTTGTATTAAATTTTGCGTAAAAAATGAAATAAAGTGTTGCAAAGTGCAAAAATTCACCAGATATGGCTCCGTGTGACTTTTTCCTATTCCCAAAGTTGAAGAGACCCATGAAAGGACGGCGGTTTTCCTCGATTGAAGAAAATCGCTGAGAGTGCTCAAGGACATATCAAAAAGTGAATATCAAGGGTGCTTCGAAAATTGGAAAAAACGCTGGCATAAGTGTATTATATCTGGGGGGGACTACTTTGAAGGGGACCACATTAATGTAGACGAATAAATAAATATTTTTTTGAAAAAACGAAAATTCCGGGTACTTTTTGAACAGACCTCGTATATCTTTTGTTCCAAATTATAAGATTGTTCGGAAAGTAATTTTGTTTTTCTTTTACAATAGAAAATTTAAATGTATTTTTTTATCCTAACGTCATACTTATATGCCTATTATATAATACGAAAGCTTATAAAATCATTTAACTAATTTTATTAATACATATTAAGGTCTGAATCTAAAAAATTCCAATAAATTCTGTGCTGTAATATTTGGATGGTGCACCTAAATATAGAAAGCAATAAGTTGAAATTTCGAAATTTATACAGAAAATGTTAAAAATTATATTCAAATGAGAATGAAATTGACTGACGTCTGGTCAATCTGAAAGATGTCTTTTGGAAAATTTAAAAAATTTGATGTCGGAGATGCACTACGTTCATGAAGAATGCTTGGTGCTGATAAAGCCATGAGAAAGGCATTAGTTGATGCAAACGGAATTCATGGATTTTAAATTTATCAAATTCAATGACCATTCGAAAGGTCTGGGATTTTTCTCGAAGCTCATTGCATGAGTTTTCTAGATTCTCATATAACGAAACCTGTATCGCCTCAATTACATATGCGATTCACTTCCGAAATGTCGTGAAAATTATCAGTAAATTATCACTAGAAACGAAAAATAAGTTGTACAACACTACACCAATGAAAAAAAGGACCTGCTCAAAACAGTTGCAAAACCAGAAAAAGGTGATGCTGTATGTTTGATGGAGTTTTAAAGGAGTTGTTTGTTTTTCAGCTTTTCCAATAAAATGTAATGGTTAACTAAACGATATACTTCAACAGAAAAGACCAGGATTAATCAACAGTCAAGCTGTAGTATTGCATCAAGACGACGCGCGACCTCACATAAGTTTGGTCAATTTTTCCAAAAGCTTTTGCAGCTCTAACAGAGTCTTTTCCTGACTTGGCGTCATCGGACTATTATTTGATTCGGACACTAAAAAAAATTAGGCGGTAAAAACTTCACCTTAAATGAGGTGATGGAAAAGCAGCTTGATCAGTGTACTGCCAATGACGACCAAAAAATTTATGATCCCAAAATTATGCTACTAGCAAAAATATTACTAAATATGTTCGACTAAATCTTTTTGAATATATAATTTAAAAAGTATTAGATTATTATATGAAAATGACTTGTCAACATGTCTATAAAAACGAAATTACTTCCCGAATGACCAAATATATTTGAAACCGAGTGTTTTTCCATCATTTTTTATTTCGCATTGTTATACTCCGACAGATTTGATATTTTCTTGAATTTTTGCCTAGTTTAGAAAAAATATATATTCTATTTATTTTTAGGAAATTTCAAATCTGCTGCAGAAATTATTCTGAATGATTTATCAGCTTCGGAACAAAGGCAATTGGCTGCTCGTTTGCAAGGATTACTTAACAATGTGCAGATTGAAGATGTAGCAGTACTTGCAATGTTTTTAACTGACAATGAACACGTTAGAAGACAAGTAATAAGAGTTGTCACCAATTTTTTAACGAACGATCTGCAAATGATTTTGAGCCAGTAATTCTAACAGTCAATTAAGAGTCAATTAAATAATATCGGAGTCAATTAAATAATATTGGAGTCAATTAAATATTCAACTTGCTTTCAATCTATCATTGTAAAAAATATATTGAAGTTTCTCTAAAATTAAATACTAAAGTAATGCATAAATATGTTGTTATGTATGAATTAATCTGTGTTTAATATCAACTGATATTGAACACAGATTGATATTAATAATTATGAACAAATATATTTTTGAATTTCGATAAAATTAATTAAATATTATTTATAGGAATCAGTAACAGTCTCAATCGTATTCATTATTCATTTAGCTCTGGTTTTTGACTACCAGCAACATAGACTTTTAATTAAGCGGGAACTGTAATAACAAATTTATTAAGGCAAACGCAACCTACAAAGTTGGACTACTAAGGACATACTGAGATACAACTTTAAGAAGACAGTTCATAAATAAATAGTTTGATCCTCTTTGGAACATTAGCATATGAAGCTTTTGAACCCAAATGGAACAAATTATATATCGTAACCAACATTCGCCGGGCTCAGATGACGAAAATAAGTTTTGCCAATAAATGCAAGTCTCTTTTTTACCGGTGGATTCATTGTTCTGTTTTTACAAGTAATTAGAGTAAAAGTAAATACTCAATCACCTTTTACAGATTTCAATTTTCTTTTTCTTGGCCTCGAATGAACTACCCTGTAGTTCTTGCAAAATAGTACTAGGCATATTGTCCACTGTATAAGTATCATTTTTTTGAAACTAAGCAAAAATGAATAAATAATAAAAAATCCATCAAATACCTGATAATTGCAATAAAATCGTTCGAAATTACTATAGTAATTTCGAACGATTTTATTGCAATTATCAGCTATCAGCTAGCAGCTATCAGCTATTGCAGTAGTCAGCTGAAATGTGCATTAGTCTTCAAATGTTCATTATGATGGTGGTCTTACCATGTTTACTGCGAGCCTATTAAAAATCAATTAACTTTTGCAAGTACTATAGTACTATAGACCACCATCATAATGAACCTTTGAAGACTAATGCACATTTCAGCTGACTACTGCGACAAGACTGTGCCAATGACGATCAACATCTGACATAATTATTAGTATAGCTTTCTCAACGTTATAAAGTTATGAAACAGTGACTAAAACTAGCCAATTTTTAAATAAGGCCACTGTGTCATTTTGATCATATATACCATTTTTGTCCGTATTCCCCTACGTAACCTTCATCGTTACCGAAAGTTCGGGAGCGAAAGATGATATGAATGGCCTCAACAGGTAAGTGTAAATAACGAGTATAGTATTTATTAAAAATTTGATTAAAAAAAAGATTGCGCGTAAGGTTCACACGCAATTGAAGTAAAACTTATTTGCTACTGTACAAGATGGCATTTAAGTTAAAATAAATACATCATATGACAATTTTGAATAAAGTTTATTAGTAATGTGGTAACACTCGTGATGCACACATTTATTAGTGTCAACCATTATACACATTTATGATAAAATGATAAATTATAATTTTATCATTTTAGAAATGAACCTTCAATAGAAAAATGAAGTAATTGCTGATTAATAAATTCTATAATATTCGTTCACACAGTAGATTATGTTAAACAACGCCTAAACAAATATCGTTTTCGCAACTTGACTCATCATGTAATTGTGTTTGAAAAACTTCATGTAATTAAAATTGACATAAATTCATTGACTGTTTGTATTATTTTTATTTTTTCGCTGGCGATAGCATCTCATTCTTTGAACAGCTTTAATATCTGTCTTGCCTAAAAAATATTTTCCATTTTAATAACCTCAAAGATTTATAGAAACTAATAATAATCTAGAAATAATTTCTAATCAATAAACTTACGTTTAGTACACGGCACAAATCTTTAATTTGTTTCATAATTTTCAAGGAACAAGGTAAAATATTCTTCTGATTCAGGCATGTTTCATTAAATCAAGATTTGTACAACGATGTAACTTTAAAATGGTAATTTATCTATGGATTTCTTTGTTGATATCGGTACGCATACAACGTTGATGCCGGTACGCATACAACGACAGATCTCTATTCACATACACGACGACTAATCACAATCGACCCGTGTATGTGTAATATAAATGATTTAATCGAAAGCAAATGACGTACAGTTCGGGCGTAACGCTATTTCCGTTGCATTTGTACGGATTTACACCCTAGTCGCGCTTAAAGAATTTTTACTTCAAAAATATTTCGTTTAAATTTGTATTAATAATATATTATTAAACATAAAAATTAAATAGGGTTGTTTAGTCTAACTTATAGATTTTATTGCACATTACCGTACATACGAAATATTTAAATAACAATATAAAGCATAACAATAATATATAACATATAATATGGTAAAATAGTGTCAATGATCCAAAATTCTCATATTGCCAGAAACGATTTTGTTTTCCAAAATCGCTCCACTTGGAATGTCAATTCTATCACCATGATTCGCAATTATAATCACAGTTCCTTTTAGTCTGCAAGAATAAAATATATTAATATTTTATTTTCTATATTATTTATTAGATTTTATGAAAACATTTCGAGGTTGAAAGCAACACATCGAAATGGTCATTATGACTTGAACAAATATTCGGATTGAAATTTTTTTTATGAGAATAAATACATATTTAATTTTCAAAAACGTATAATATAAATAAATTTTATAAATAAAATATTTAAAATAAATGGAGGACCAATAATGTTTAAGATTTATTATCACAAAATAGAAAATCTGACCAGGACAGTAAAATAATGAAACAAGTAAAATAATGGAATTTTGCCTAGGAAACGTCTTACAATATATACAATGTATATTATACACTCAATATTTTTATATAAGCGTCTGATCTGTTTACCGAATATCGACAACATGATTGTTCAAGTTGCAATATCTGCAAAAACTTCTTGTAGAAAAGTTCTAACAATGCAATGATGTTTGCTATTGATAAAATTACACTACAAACTGCATATAATTACTTTTAGTTCGATTTATAAGTTTTTATGGTTTGTATATTAAATCTGATTTTATAACAGCGTGATTTCATGATACACCGCGTTATAGGAGGGTTAAATGTTTAAAATACAAAAAAATTAAATACTTACCTAACTCCTCTGCCAAATGTAACATCGCCCGAAACAGTCAAGTGATCCAGCTCCAAGATGTCCGGCATATTGGCAAATCTGGACAAGAAGTCTTTAACTTTAGCAAAATGCTTGTCACCAAGTTTGACGAGTGGCGTCGTAGGAAACATTCTCAGAGGAGACATGACCAGAGTTCCATTTTTAAGATTGTATAAGTTGCTCATGACTAACAGCAAATCTGATGTCTTTTTCACTGGCAAGAAACGACTTCGGGGCACATTTATACCTAATAAAGATACATCATAAATAATTTTAACTACAATAACGAAGTATAACTTTATATGTGCGAAGTAGAGATGGCCTTATCATATCGCTTTAGGGAGGAGTTATATCCGCTTAACAAATCCACGACTCCGACAACTTTGAAACCGAAATACTTGACACAAAGGTGTTCTATAGTGCGTTGTTTATGTATCTAAAGATTTGTCAAATCCCATTAATTATTTGAAATAAAAATTTATGAATAAATATCAATAAAATAATTTTCTAAAAAATTCACAAATAAATGACGAGTTGTAAAATGTTTTGGTCGACCAGATGATCGACTCAATGACTCGTAATTGTAGCAGTGTTGACCAAAGTAAAAACGCAAAACATGAGAATCAAATTCAATTTAATTATTTTCTTTTGATGAGAAAATAATTGATTTTTTGGATTAATTTTATATAAAAATAATGTAGTAAACTTTGTAATAAAAGCAAAACATCTATCCTAAAATGTTTTCACCAAATAATAATACTTCTGCTTTCTAAATTTTTCTTCTGCTATTTCCATTCCAGAATTAATATTATATCGGGTAGTTCGTTTAGCATATTATTACTTTTACACAATTATATAAATGTGTAAAAATAATAATATAATACTAAATATTTTTTGCTGCTTAGATACTATTGATATCACTGATAAATTTTGCACTCTAAAGTATTATTATTTTAGGCTATGAAAAAACCAGATTAAATGTAATTCGTTTCGTGTACTTTTCGGTATGTATATTCCTGATTGCCGTCATTCACGATCAAAGATTGTCGTAGTTACAAATATGATCCCTTACTATTCAATAAATTATACATTTGAGCTATTCACACTAGAACACAACTTCATTGTTCTGTTTTGCATTTTACGGAAAATACACATCGTCATTATTTTGACTCGTATACCTAAAATGTCATAAAAATGCCTGTGAGACGAGAAAGCGACCGCTTCCTTCCAAAGCAAAAACGCATTTAAATGTCTGCACGAGTTAACAGATTTAATACCAGTTTAGGAAAGTCGGATATGACAAAATCTTCGACACAACTCCGCTCGGATTAACTCCCAGGGAGGAGTTGTATCGGAGTGATAACTCCGGAGTGAGTTACCCATCTCTATATGTGAGCATAAGAGTTTAATATATCACTAAAACCTTACTTATAATCAGGAAGTTTAACACTTTCGTTTGAGCGTGTTTTCGGCAAAAGTGACTCTGCTATACAAGCAGTAAACCGCCCAAGTATTTGTTACACAAAGTATTTTCAGACTTTTTAATCAACATCGATAAAAATTAGAATTAAAATTTTTAATAAATTAACTCACAGTGATAAATATTAAAGCAAATGTCGTCTATAAGCGACGCTTATAGCGAAAGAGTTGAATTGGAAAAATTAAAAAAAAATTATACCTATTCCTCTATCAAAAGATTTCATTGCTGCTCCTACAGCCGTCTCAAGTTGTATGACATTTTCACCGCTGTCCAGATGTTTTGTATTTATTATGATTTCCATATTCAGCGTATGCTCATTTAAAACTCTATCGATAGCTAAAACAGAAATGTATAAAAAAATTAAAATGTAAATATATTATA